ACCGCTTCTGGTGTGAGTTGGCGCCATGTGGAGGATGGAACTAAACCTTGTTGGAGCCGTAATGTGTCGCAGACGTGTGAGGTGTTAATGAGGGACTATAAGGGCTTTGATAACTTTCAGCTTGAGAGTATTTTGGACATTTCCTAAAGAAGCAAAGAGTTAAGAATATTGAAGAGGTTCTGAGATTACAGGTTATTTCAGTTGTTTGTTGTGTATAGGATCTAGCATACTTGTTGGAATTGATGTCTGTTGATGTCATGTCTGTTGTTTTTGTCATTAAACTGGTGTTTCTGTTCACCCTAGACCTGATGGCGCTGAAAGAAGAGAGTCAAGAACTGAATAAAATGGAAGAGAAAGATCAGTATGAGAAATGTCATGATTTAATGGTTGGGGTGAAATCTTTTAGTTACTCAAAGACTCATAAAACAGAAACTAGAAACTTTGAAGTCCAGATGAAAGTTCATACTGGAGAGAGCCCTTTCACCTGCCAACACTGTGGGAAGGGTTTCTCACTAAAAGGAAATCTTAACATTCACATGAAAATCCATGCTGGAGAGAAGGCTTTCATATGCTCTCAGTGTGGAAAGAGATTTACACAGAAAAATACCCTTAATTCCCACATGAGAGTTCACACTGGAGAGAAGCCTTACACCTGCAAAATGTGTGGGAATAGCTTCACGCGAAAAGAAAATCTTGAAATTCACATGAGAGTTCACACTGGAGAGAAGCCTTACACCTGCAAAATGTGTGGGAAGAGCTTCACACGAAAAGAAAATCTTAAAATTCACATGAGAGTTCACACTGGAGAGAAGCCTTACACCTGCAAACTGTGTGGAAAGTGTTTTAAACAGAAAAAGTACCTCAATGGCCACATGAGAGTTCACACTGGAGAGAAGCCGTTTGTTTGTGATCAGTGTGAAAAGAGTTTCAGGTGTAAAGCGCACCTTGATCTTCACATGAGGAGTCACTCCGGGGAGAACTGTTTTATATGTCAGCAGTGTGGAAAGAGTTTCTCACACAAAGGAAACTTTGAGAATCACATGAGAGTTCACACTGGAGAGAAGCCTTTCACCTGCCCTAATTGTGGAAAGAGCTTCACAATTAAAGGAAACCTTAAGATTCACATGAGAGTTCACACTGGAGAGAAACCTTACAAGTGTGTTCAGTGTGAAAAGAGTTTCCCATATCACACAGACCTAAAACGGCATTTGCAAACTCACTCTGGAAAGAAAATCCAAACCTTGTCACACTGAGGAAAATTGCAATTTCAACAATCATCTGCGCATTCACTCTGAAGAAAGACAATTAAATTGTGATCAGTCTAATTAAAACATCACACTTACAGATAAAAATGTAAAAGTTGTGTAAATGTGAGACCCTGATTGTGTTCTTTGTTAAAACCTATTTGGACAGGATTAGTTTTACATGGAGTGGTGGGATAGAGTAAATATAACCAGAGCTTCTCAGTGATTTTAGTCCCATCTGAATGTGCCATCTCAGTAATCATTATGGATAATATCAGTAAATATTAATGTGACTTTTACCTTCAGTAAAAAGGAAAATTACCTCAGGTAATGCTATTCCCGTGCTAATAGACCAGCTGTAAATATTGCGGAAATGTTACATCATTTCTTGTTTAATTCTGTTACATGGTTTTGGGTTATGTTTCATTGTTTACAGTGGGTACGGAAAGTATTCAGACCCCCTTCAATTTTTCACTCTGTTATATTGCAGCCATTTGCTAAAATCATTTAAGTTAATTTTTTTTCCTCATTAATGTACACACAGCACCCCATATTGACAGAAAAACACAGAATCGTTGACATTTTTGCAGATGTATTAAAAAAGAAAAACTGAAATATCACATGGTATTGTGGCACATCCTAAGTATTCAGACCCTTTGCTCAGTATTTAGTAGAAGCACCCTTTTGATCTAATACAGCCATGAGTCTTTTTGGGAAAGATGCAACAAGTTTTTCACACCTGGATTTGGGGATCCTCTGCCATTCCTCCTTGCAGATCCTCTCCAGTTCTGTCAGGTTGGATGGTAAACGTTGGTGGACAGCCATTTTTAGGTCTCTCCAGAGATGCTCAACTGGGTTTAAGTCAGGGCTCTGGCTGGCCCATTCAAGAACAGTCACAGAGTTGTTATGAAGCCACTCCTTCGTTATTTTAGCTGT